ATTTTTAAAAATATTCGTCATGCTTACTTGCACTATAGACTGTTGAATAAAAATGTAAATCTAAGTTCAATAGACCACATTTTATATTTACTATTTCTATTTCTGCTATCGTTAACCACAAAAACGACAAAAAACACAGTCACATTCATGTTTACATTTGTTCCCTGAGTGTTTCTGCCAGAGATGTTTTGCGGTGGTCAAGGGGCACATAGCTGAAAAGAAATTATTTTAAACAAGTACATTATTCAGAAAAGTTTGAATACCACTGTTATACCAGTCCCTCCAGAAAATCTTGCGATCGCAATAATTAACGCAAATTCAACGAAAGTCCACAATATTTGCGGGGGCTTGCAATTTTTCAAAAATCCTGTGATTTTTCCTCATTTTCTGGCTGACCGGAGTCTTTTGAAACGTCATCAAACGCGTCATCAAATCACGCAAATGACATTGCAGTATGGAGAAACGCTCTGTATTGAGAATTAAGAATTTGCGCTGTTAAAATGCATACAATATGTGTTGAATTTATTGAAATGTTAAGTTTACAGAGGATGTAGCTTACATGTTGTTTTACAGTCACATTGTCTGTTTTGAGAGCTACAATATTCACTCAGGATTTTTTGCAACATTATTGGAGTCCATGTTTTGAAACTAATTAAATAAAACTAAAGGAGAGAACTATAAAAACATTTTCAGCTATTTTTGTAATATTCAGTATGATAATTATAGCAAGTGATTACACGACTTTTTTTTTTTGGAGGTAGTAGTTTAAAAAAATCAAAATACAAATTCTCCTTGTTTCATTAGCCGCAATTTTTGTCATTTGCTGAAATTTCCCGCAAAAAAATCACATAAAAATGCTGCAATTTTTATCGCATTTTTGACAAAATTGGCCGCATATTCAAGGGTTTTTTGCCGCGAAATCCTCAAGGGACTGACATACTTTGATAATGTGATGCACATGTGTGGTTATCACAGATTTAGTATTCGGGCTGGGTATCATTTAAAAACTTAGTATACCAGTACCCTTAAAGTGATACTGATACTCGTAGAGTATTGAGTATTGTGAGTAATTTCCTTTTTGGTACTTATACATTTCATACTCATTATGTTACAGAAGCATTTAGTTGAGTAAATTGCCACCAGACATGGGACAAGTTAATTGTTGGTGGCCGATCTGTACGTGTATGCGTCAGAGTTTCAGTAAACACAGGTGTCGGTTATATGCAGAGGAATGTGTGTGTGTGTGTGTGTGTGTGTCACAAATGTCGATTACATCAACACATTCTTAATCTGACCTTGTCACATATTTAGACTTTCCACGTCCATATATGACGTGCAGGGTACCCTGGGTGTGTTGGTTGTTGACGTTCTGAAACACCATGTCAATTAAACGTTTACATACTGTCTCTTTCAAAATAAACACACAACGTCGATACAACACCGCAAATTGAAGTTATTTTTTCCTTCAACAACAAACACACGTGGTTGGGTTTCAGAAAAAAAGAACAGGGTTTGGCTGTAGAATCTTACAGGATTGCGAACACTGCTCTCTCAGGTGAAAGTCTGTGTTTGTCGTTTGTTGGTTTCTGATACCACAAGTCACTGCCCAAGCGCCGGATTTCAACAACTTCAGAGTGAGACAGGGCTCATTATATGCATGGGGAAGTGGACTTAATAGTGCAGTGGGGCATATTGGCATGCTGAACTGCCAACTCTGCTGAATACACTGCACTCGACTTCACCACACACTGTATGGATGTGGCTGTGGGCCAATCACACATCGCATTAAATTGGAGAATGCTTGCTTTGATTGGCCGCAAGCAAAGTCATACAAATAGTCATTTATGGATTGAATGCAGGTATCATTTGACGGGAGAAGGTTAAATACTACTAGGTTATTTCTGTCGATACCTATGGAGTAAAGATACCCAGCCCTATTTGGTGCACAGAGTAATCTTACCTTATGAGGGAAAAAAGTCTTGCACAAAAAGGTTGATATAAAGAAATTTGCATGTTTTTTTTTTGTTTGTTTGTTTGCTTGTTTGTTTTAACAATATTTTTATTGAAGTTTCAAGTGCATCAGATAGTTAGTGCTATCCGTTTCATTGGTAAAGAAGGACATAAATGAGTCCCAGATACAAACAAACTCTGTCTGTTTACATTTAACAATGTATGTCAATCTCTCCAGTCCAAGACAAGTCATCAGCTCCCTCTTCTATACTGCCAGTGATGGTGGTTCTACATTTTTCCAACATAATGCAATCACTCTTCCTGCATGCTGAAGTTCAAAATCAATCATTTTCGATTGCTTTGTTGTTCTGATAGAGTTTTTGGGGTATATTCCAAGTATACAGGTTGTTGGCATCAAAGGAATATTACACTTGACCATCCGTGATAAACATACCAGAATCTTAGGGCATTCCCATAAGCAGTGAATCAAAGTTCCCTTTTCGTTCAGGCATTTAACACAAACATCAGGAATGGTGGGGGAGATATGGTGAAGTTTAACAGGGGTTATGTAAACCCTCATTAACCAGTTATACTGAAGCAATTTTAATCTTGTGTTACTTAATTTTTTGTGAGCCTTCAAACATGCCATTTCCCAATCTTCTTCACTAATATCTTCTTGTGTGTCTGTTCTCCAAGCATTTAATCTAGCTGATGCTGATTCTGTTGAATACTTTGTTAAAAGGTTATAGAATCTAGATATATATTTCTTATTATCCAAATTATTAAGCACAGTTCCCTCATTGATAGTGGGGGTGTGGCCATGATTGTCTTATATTTTGATGCTATAAAACTTCTTAATTGCAAATATTTGAAAAAATGTTTTTGGGGAACTTGATACCTATGACAGAGTTGTTCAAATGTGAGAAAGATACCCTTAAAATAAAGGTCTGAAACCATCCCAAGTAAGTAATAAAGTAATACATTGCAGAACTTAATTGGGTAGCCCAGTAATGCCATTTAAGGTTAGGGACCTGAAGTCCTCCCCTTTCATAAGGTAAATATAATAACTTAAGCTGGCGTCTAGGTTTTCTGTTGTTCCAAATGAACTGGCTAAATGTACTGTCAATTTTCTTATGGAAGTTGCTTGGTAACGGAAGCGGGAGTGCTTGAAAAAGATATATAAATTTGGGTAGGATAGACATTTTAATTAGATTTATACGTCCAATCATTGATATTGGCAAAGTAGACCATCGATCCAACGTCTCTGTCACTGTCACCAGAGGGTCATAGTTTATGGAGACAATGTCACCAAGTTTTGGGGTTATCTTAATGCCCAGGTATTTAAATCCATCCTGTGTGGCCATAAATGGTGTATCTATTTTGGGATTGAGCCTTTCTTCTTCATTCAGAAATAACAATACTGACTGAGATTTGTTGATTCTGTATCCAGAGAACTTGCCAAAGTTTTCAATTAAAGTAATCAAATTTTGAATACTGTTCCTCAGATTTAAGAAAAAAAAACATCATCATATAATGCTATATGATGCTCTATGTCCCAAATTCTAATGCCAGATATATTCTTATGTGCCCTTGCTGCAATCACGAGGGGTTCTATTGCTAAAGTGGAAAGCAGAGGAGACAGTGGGCAGCCTTGCCTGGTTGAGCATTGTAAACTGAAAGGTTTAGAAATTGGGTTTGTATACAATAATTTAATCCATTTGAGAAATGTTTCACCTAATCCATATCTAGGAAGCAGATCAAAAAGGTATTTCCATTCTATTCTGTCAAATGCTTGTCTAGCGTCAATTGACAACATTGCAGTATCTTTTGCATTATTTTTCTCAAACAGTACATTTAAGACTCTCCTGATGTTATGGAAGCCTTGCCGTTGTAACACAAAACCATTCTGATCATTGCTGACCAGTTGAGGAAGATATTGTTCCAATCTTTTAGAAAGAGCTTTGCATAATATTTTTGTATCGCATCCCATTAAACTAATGGGCCTGAAAGATGAACAACTGGTTGGTGATTTGTCAGGTTTTAATATCACAGTTATCATAGCTAGTCTTAACGATGGTGGAAGAGTTCCTGTTGTATATGATTCGTTAAACATATCTAGTAAAGGTTGCACAAGTTTCTGTTTAAACTTCTTATAAAACTCTATAGGTATCCCATCAGGACCAGGTGCTTTCACACTGTTCATGCTGTTCATAGCTTCAGAAAAATCCTCTACTGTATGGCTCTGAAATTGTAGTTGATCGAGAAATGCTTCTTGTTGTTGTGTAACTCCTGCGTATTCTGATTTGTATAATAATTCATAAAAGTCTCTGAAGGTAGCATTAATTTCCATTGGGTCTGTTGTTAAATCACCTGACATTGTCGTTATACTGTTGATTGTTCTTTCGGCTTGAATTTTCTTAACCCGCCAAGCCAGTTATTTGCCTGGCTTTTCTCCCTGATCATAGTATGTTTGTTTGGTCCATAAGAGGTTTTTAGCAACTTTTTCAGTTGTTAGTTTATTGTATTCAGCTCTCATTACTGTTATTTTTTGCTGTTTGTCCATGTCATTATTCTCATAAAGTTCTAATTCTGGTGTTTTAATCTGTTTTTCCAATGTTTGTATTTCCCCATTGTATTGTTTAGTCTTGGAGCTTACTTAATCATTTCTCCCCTTATAAATGCTCTAAATGCTTCCCACCTTACACTGGTGGTTGTTTCACCTGTGTTTAGTAGGAAATAGTTATCTATCCAGGCTCCTATGAATTTAAGAAAGGATGGATCTTGTAACCAATATACCTGGAACCTCCATCTCTGAGAATGTTGAGCAAATATGCCTAAGCATATTTCCATTGAGACAGCTGCATGATCACTAATCACTATGCTGTCATACCAGCAGTTTGTGACATTAGTCAGCAATTCAACAGATATTAGAAAACAATCAATGCGTGAGTACGTTTTACAAGTAGAAGAAGGACAGGAGAATTCTTTTTGCATTTTTTGTTTTTTGACCTCACTCATGTCTAATTTTAAACATTTTCTCTCAACTTCAGGCTCGTGAAGCCAACCATGTTGGGGACCGGATGGGGGCGGAGCGGAGCAGCAGGATGGCCAGGACACTGAACCATGTGGCCCTGGGAATCGGCATCGGACTCATGGTCCTCACCATTGTCTATGTAGCCGTGATGTCCAGCATGTTTAACTAAATCTGTTTCAGCATCTTTCCTATATTTCCCCGTTCTCATTCTACATCAGGTAATCGGACCACATCAGGAACATTATTGGTCATCAGGACGAGTTTGTTAAAAATTTGTAACACTGAAGTCATCTGATTGGCTAAAAGCCAAAACCTTTGAAAGGTTGATATATTAATCAACAATAGATGGCCATCCAATCCTTTACTCTCCAGCACTGTAGAGTAACCACTACAACCTTCCAAAGATTCATATTTCTCAAACAGTTTTTGTCTGTGATGTGCCGTTATTCATCAAAAATCAACACTTTTTGTTTTTGACACGAAGTTTATTGCAACTTGGATGCCTTAAGAGTTCCGCTTTAATTCAGTGTTGCTCCTCCTCATGTGGAGACTGCAAGTGTTATCCCAAGAGACTTTTACATGTCGTGTTCAAATAGCAAATGAATATCAGTACACAGTTTGTAATGTGTCAGATTTTATTTTGAGATAAGTTTTGTGCAGAGAATTGTCCGATTGTAGGATGGGCCAAATGTTGCTGCCCTTTCAAAAGAACTGTTGGCTGTAAATATGCACTAACACCATCTAACCCTTGAAAACGTATACTAACATAGAATAACATTTAAAAAAATAACTAACCAAGGATACTCAAAAATATTCAGAGTGGTGGAGATTTACCATTGTTTAGCTCATGCTTAAGTAAAAGAAGTAAAAGAAGGAAGGCTGAGTCTGTGTATCTGATCTGAGACACTATAAGCTGATCTCCTCCTCTTACCAGTCATTTTTGAATTGCACCTCCTCTTTATTCCAGCTGAACACGAATGCCTAGCTTCACATAAAATCAGCAGAAACTTTGCAACAGTGGAGCCAAAATGGCTGACACCACCAGCTGCTCGATCGGCAGCTAAGGCTCCATTCCAAAAGCATAGTGTGTTATGTATGGCCTGGGTGTTGTTTGTCATGTAATGTCTGTATGTTCTTTTCGTAACCAAAGCTGAAAAAGGAGAAATTCACTGTATAACAAATTTCTTTATAAATAAAGTATAGTATATTAAGAGAAAAACAACTTGTAGTGTCTGGTCTATTTGGATGGTTTATATCAGGGAAGCGCCAGAAGATCTAGGTCTCTCTTTAATTGGTTTCTGTGAGGTATGTGATGACCACCAGAGGCTGGTCTGAAGCAGTGTACCAGACAATAACTGTACATTCTATAGTCAAGCAAATATTTCCTTATATTTTAAACATTGGTGTCTCGAGTTGTCATCAAATGCCTCTGTACAGAATTTAAATATTAAATTGGTAATTTTAAAAAGCACACACTCTCAAAGGTCTGTTTACCTCTGTAACCTGTGTTTCTCAAGTTACACGGGGAAAAAGAGGCTACCTGCCAGTGTCAAGATTCAGAGATGAGCTAAAAAAATGTGATATCATCTCATTCCACTGATAAAGTACGGTCACACATGAGCGAATGCAGATGATTGACTAGTGCATGCCAAGGTGATATTCGTGCTGAATGTGGACAGTACAGAGAACTTAAGTTAACTTTCTAACTAATGTTACTGAAGAAAGGCACTCTTGCGCTTCAGCCAAAAACACTGGATCGGTGCTCACAGCACAGGACCAAAATAGTAGACACTAAATCAAGTGGGCCACTTCAAAAAATGACTGAACCCAAATGAAAGGAGGCTGGAGCACTCGATAAAATTGCAAAGCTTTTAATGAGGTGCAAACAAACTGACGTTTCAACGCTACTGCGTCTTCTTCAGAGTCAAACAGGTATTGATAGAACAATGGCAGTTAAATACCCACATCCTGAAACCAAACGGTCTCTCTAACCCTAACCCTAATGTTACTTCCTGTTAGCTAGGCAGCATCTCTAATGTGGGGCAGTTTGGATTTTTCATGGCCGATATATTCACTATAAGCAGGTTAAACACAAAACCATCACTGTCACCTTCATATGTACTTCTTTGCTATTGGTTGAGGCTGCAACTTCACCATTCAGAGTTCATCTATGTTGAACTAGTGTTGCACGGTATACTGGTACCAACGGTAGACCGCGGTAGTTAAACACCACGGTACATATGATACCATTATGTTGGTACCTCATGGTATGACTACTGTGGGATAAGTTAAAACTCCAATCGCAAGAGGGTGAGTGTCCATGCCCCGTCCAATAACGGCGCGCGCTGGCCACCTGACACTCAATATGCTGCTGCAGTGGTTTGTTTTCCAGTGACATTTCAGGTATTAGCTGAGCTATTGAGTATCTTTAAGCAGTGAAAGTTATTATTAGCCATGTCGCTTCAACTATAGCCTGGAACAGAAAAACCAAACACTGGCCCTAAATAGGGCCATTCACGTTTTCACATCAGCCACCAATGTCCTTCTTCATGCTTGCACACAGGAGTTTCAGCTCTGCAACCTCACTGCAAGATGCCAAAGAATCCTACCCACTGGACTTTTAATGAGAGTAAAACTGAAGCCCTGATACTTGGATCTGGCTGTGCCTGTGATGCCCCTCATGTGGACCTGCATTCCTCATATGTAAAACCCACTGAAAAAATCTGGGTGCAATAATGGGCATATACACTGTAGATAAACTCAGTGATCAAACCAATCTTTTTCCAGCTGAGGCTCTTATCTACGCTCAAGTCCTTTTTACCATTTAGTGATTTTGAAAGGGGCGTACATGCGTTTATCTTGACCCGACAGGACCACTGTAATGTGCTCTTTGTTGTTGTTAGCCAGGACTTTCTCTCACGCTTGAGGTTGATCCAGAATGCTGTAGCTTGCCTTTTAACAGGAACACGCAACTGAGAGCACATTTCCCCTGTACTGGCCTCCCTTCACTCCCTGTGTGTTTTGGGATTGATTTTAAGATTTTATTTGTTGCCTATTAATCATTAATGCTCCAGCTTATCTCTCTGACATTTACAACAACACATCCCATCAAGGTCACTCGGGCCTGCTGACCAGTTGTTTCTGGTTGTGCTATGATCAGTGTTGGGGCACAGGGGAGAAATTCTGGAGCAAGTTGCCTCTGTATGTTAGGCTGGCCCCTACACTGCCTGTTTGTAAATCTTTAATTCTGGTTTAACTGGTCTTTGTGTGTTTTGTGATTGTACAGCACTTTGGTCAACTGCCATTTTTAAATGTGCTTCATTAAAAAATTGGATTGGAGTTTTAAAACACATCAGAGAGGACCTATTTTCAGGCTCATACTTGTGTTTAAGGTTTCTACCTGAACATGTTTACGTGCTTCAATGGTTAAAAAATACTGTCTTTTCCTCATACTATCATACAATGCTGGAACACGTGTATTCACCCTCTGTCTGAAACACTCCCGAAAAAGCCCAGTCTGCTCTGATTGGTCAGCATTTCCGGGTCTTCTGTATCTCGGCGTCTCTGCCAGAGTCTTGCTGGGCTCTGATATGCAATACCCTGCCACCTACACCTATGACCAGTAAATTTCGTAAGCTGACCCACCAACTAAAGATCCACGGCCCAACCCGAAAATCGCAAAACCTAAAACAACCTCTGATGTTTCCCTCCAAACCATCCGCGCTGCCAAGGACTTTGTGGAGAGACTTTGTTGGAGTGTTGAACTATATTGTGTGCTGTTTATTAGCCCTGCCCTGTACCTGCTGAGTAGTAACAGTAAACATCATCACCAACTGTTCCTGGTCTCAGTTGTGCTGCTTCTGGGTGCACTTCTGAGTCTCTCCCTCCTGTGTTCCTTGTAGTATAAACTCTCTGAAGTCCTCAACTGCGTCTCTGGTTGGTTCACCAAGGAGTTTGTCCATCTTGTGCACCTCCCTCTCACCAAACAAGACAAGCTCTTCACGCTTTTGTGGCCAGCTGGACTTCTCAAGGGGCCTTAGTAACTGAACAAGGTCGTCACTTGGTAGCCAGGCAGTCAAGTTATCAACAACTGCTTGGTAGAATTGAGGGCTATTTAGTTTCCCTGCTATTTCACCAATAATACTCACACCTTTAAACAGGCCAGCCAAGATGCTCTGTTGAGCCTTTGCTGTTGACTTTCCGCCCTGCATTTTCATTGCAGTTAGAATTTCAATTGTCTGTTGGATGTAGCAGTGACTGTCAACAAGTGTTGTGTGTCTTCGCTGCAGCTTCAGAGAGAGGCTCTGCAGTTATTGTAAAACATCTTTCATGCAGGCCAAGTCACACACAAAACTTGCATTGGTGAGATACTTTAACTGCCCAGTGTACTTCTTCCTCACACTGTCAGAATGAGATTTGTCCTCACTTTTGGTTTTAAAATGTTTTGCCAGAACAGGGAAACTCTTCCACACTGCTCTCACTGTGTTAAAACTAGTGGCAACCCATCTTATCGTGAAGACCTGGTCAATTTTCAGAATCTGAATGTTTAGGTCATCTGCTGCTTCTTGTAGCAACCGTGCACTTTTGTGGGACTGATGAAACAAGGTGTATAGCTTTGAGATGAACGCTTCGAAATGATTGCAGCCAGACACAGATTTCAATGAGTCATGTACAGCTAACTCCAAACAGTGAGCTAAGGAGTGAATGGATTTCATGTTAGGAAAGTCATGTTTTAGTTTAGCGATGACTCCATTTTTGTAGCCTGTCAAAACTGAAGCTCCATCAGCTGCAATGCTAATGGGATTTCTTTGCAAAAAATCATCATCAAAGCCAGCATCTTGTAAACTTTTTCTCAGCGCATTATATATGGAATCAGCATCAGTGCCATCTTTCAGTTCAACCAGCTCTAAAAAGATGTTATTGACATCACCATCTCCAGTTACATCGCATCTGATGAATATGATCATGTATGCTAGACCATACACCATGCTCTCATCAGTTGTTAAGCTAATGCGGGAGTTCTTTTCCTTTATATTTGACACCACCCTTTTCTTCATTTCATTTGCTATGTGGTCCACAATTTCAGTACAAGCGTGGTCTGAGCGATGCACATTTCCCACTACATTTCCATTCAGTTCTTGCAACTTCATTAGTGGAGTCATCTTTTTAAATGACAATCTTTCTTTTGCAACTGCATATGCAGTTCTGAATGAGGCTGCTGTTTCCTGGATACTTGCATTAATTTCCATCACTTTTTTGGGCAGTGTTTCCTTCTGTTTCTGGCTGGCTATTTCAGCAGCCCTCTGATGTGATGTGCTATCTCTGTGTTTGTAAAGTTTCTTTGCCAGTATCTTCTTACAACTGCTGCTCACTAATCCCTTGATCCATTCATCAGAAAAGTGCATTCCAGATCCTTTGTCAGACAGTAACAAAGTCTTTGCATCTCCGCATGAGCTGCATCCCAATTTACCATCTTTTATGTACAGCCAAGGGTTCCTGTCTGTCCAGTCATGCAACTGCTCTCTTGGCCAGCAGTCAGGTGTTTGTTGTCCTGTCTTCTCTGGTGGTGGTGGGGTTGGAGGTGGGGGTGATGGTGGTGGTGATGACAATGATGGTGTATCACTTGGTGGTGGATGATCTCCAGCTCCTCTGGCCTTCAGAAAGATGTTGATATTCTTTTCATGTCAGAAACACATGAAGATAAGACAACTATGATAATTCTTTCTGTACTGTCAGTGGCCAACACTTTATTATAAGTCCTAGCATATTAGTTGAGAACAAAAGGGTGTGGCAGTTGTGCATCCCATCAGTTTCTAAAATTACTATTTGCCTAATTATCTGGTATGATGGCAATACATCTTTAAGTTCAGTCTCCTTTCTAACTCACCTTGTTGCTACTTGGTCTTGTCTGCTCATTGTCCTGTCCTTCTGCCTGCTCATTTACCATCTGTCCCTCTGCGTCCTTAATACAAGAGCACATACATGTAAAACTCACCATCACCCATGCTATAATGCTCAGTATTAAGCCTGCATAACAACCACAGAAAATACAGGCTACATTATCATCTCTAAGTCCTAATTCTTACAAGTTTCAACTTACTCTTTTTTTGGTACCAAAATAGTGCCTAATGTCACCTACTTTCCTCTTGCTCATGTTGGCTCTGTAAATGAAATCTAATCTGAGTTCAATAAAGTAGTCATATATTTTAAGTAATACAA